AACTGCAATTTATACAGTTCAACAAACGGGCATTACAATGTCAACACACATTGCAGCAGTAACTCGCCAGAACACAAAACATAAACAAAATACATGCACGCTTCGCCTCGACAACGTGATTACCATCATTATTTAACCACGTTCTCACAAGTACATAGGCTATTTAGCATCGATTGGGAAGATATTGGCAAAAACGATCGATGAGATTGACTGCTCTTCCGTTTGGAAACCGGTCTGAACGAACATAAAAATACACTTAAGGAGGTCTTGTTCACTGGCAACCTTGCCACTGTCTTGAATCAGAGCGTGGTGAGAATATTTGGACATATGACAGATGAAAGAAATTGCATAATGGGCAGATTTCTTCTTCTTCTTCTTCTTTTTCTTCAGTTACCACAGATTAAGCCGCATGGCCTGTTCCGATTCAGAATTTAAACCCCGCACAAAATAAAATCTAAAGAAGTGTTAGCAAAATTATCGTCACTGGGATCATATGAATTTTGAATAGTGCTAAATAAAAAATTAATTTCCGTTTTCAAGAAGTGTGTTTACTGAACATCAGACTAATTAACGAAGAGACACGAGACATAGATGATAAGTGAAGCAACAACATGAAGACTGAGGTAGTTCCTTAAATTAACAGAAGTGGGAAGACAAACGGAATACGTAATGCTAAACCCAGCACAAGGTGCATTTATAACACGGGGTTTATTTTCTGGGAGGCGAGTGCTGTAACCACTAAACATAACGCTAGACTTGAATTGCAGAATTCATTATTACACCCTTACAGCTTTCATAAATAATGAATTCTTCAGTCCAAAAGAAATGAATCCTCCCCGCACTTGTTCCCGGGCACAATCTACCTGACTGGAATCTCGTTGAGGTTACACGTTATGCTAACTGGGATTTACCATTTTGTTTTCAGTCCTTCGAAGCAGCCTCTGCGTAAGTACCTACAAATGCACTGCAACAGTTTCCTTACAAATTCTTATCATTCGGCGCTTATAAATTCTACAGTTGAGAGAGTACTTAAATAACATATAAAATCAAAATGCATACTTAACAAAAAAAAACTGCATGCTCATTTATTTGCAACAAAAAATTAGTAACCTTTCTATCTTTAATTATTTGGGTTCAGATTATATCATAAAACCGAATACAATATTCAGTACGGTATTAACCTCATCAATTCCCGTAATATAAAAAAGCATCCACAATCAACAACCAAGGACGAAAAAAGTAGTATGAAATCATTCCTCATTAAACATCCAACGCCCATAAGTTGCGCATGAGAACTGGATCACAGACACATCGGTAGTTGTTGCACAATATTACAGCTAACTTATGGATCACTCATCTCGCTGTTTGAAGTAGCGAAAACCAAGGGCACTTACATACAGTGAACATGTGAAAATCTTGCGCCTCACTTATGCCCTTCGGTGGTGGGATGGAATTGCTTTATGAAGCATCTGTGATGCAAAACCGGGCCATTCATAGTGCTCAGCCATGCCTACGTGAAAATAAACCAACCACAGCCCACCACTTAGGCCTACATTCTAATCCACTTGAGACACACAGTACACTCTCGGGGACCATCAGGGTCATGACATCCAAACTGATGAGGTATAAAAGAACACGCTCGATCCTTAATTTCATTCATTACCACCGCTCATCTCCAACGGAGAATAACATTATTATGGGCAAGGTAAGAATTGCTTATGACTCAATATAAACTGCGCCAAGGTTTAGTATTCCTTTGCAAATATTCATCTTGCTTTTCGTCTTTCTCAGAGGCCGGGGAGGGGAGTGCTGTAGGAAAAGCAAAACTGTTGTTGGCATAATATGTGTGCCAATGTCGAACTACATTTTGGAAATTTTTCTTCGAAAATTTCTTAATACCGGTGCTTAAGTTTTTTATCATGCAGAGCGATACATAAATATTACACTTCTGGGAGTTCTTTTAGTCTCCATACCGAAAAGAAACATTACAAACTACATGCTAAAACAAATTAACAACCATCAGGAGACTAGATAATAAATTTATATCGGCTAAGGATATGAGCGTGTCGAATGTTAAGTATTGACCAACTTTTCGGCAAATAATGCTGTTGTCATCTTCAGGTTGATGGCATCTGCAATGTTTGGCGAAACTTTGGTTAATACTCAACATTCGACACGGCTTACAATTGAAGGTCGAAGTTATACATTTAAATCCAGTCGCAAAAACTCAAGGACAGAAATCATTTATATCTATTATCCACAATAATTGGCTAATACTACAACAGTATGTTAAAATACGTCACGACCAACCTCCCTTTCTATTTACACAATAATCCCTACCATTTATTTATTGGTTAATAATAACTGAAGTTGATATAACATCGTTAATTAAGCTACGAAGTACGCAATCTGAACAGTCTAAATAACAGTCGTAAATGAGTCTTTAAGACGTGGAAAAGAAGAAATAAACAATCGTTATATTGGAAACATTTTGCTTCATTTATAGAGAAAACTCTTTTTTTAGGAATTCACAGCCTAACGTAAGGACATAATGTGTTTCTTTCAGATGATTATAATATTCGTGGCAATGGCTCTGGTCGGCGTTATGGCTGAGCCACCACCCAGTAGCCAATACCTGCCAGCAGAGCTTCAGAACGCCCCGTCTCAGCCCTCAAACCGATATGGTACACCGGCCGAATTTGGTAGAGCTGCACCATCCAACCAATATGGAGCCCCATCCAACGAATATGGAGTCCCTAGCCAGTACGAAAATGAAAATAAATTGTCTGCTCAATTTGGTGCTTCTTCTGTTTCTGGTAGATTCGGCGGCGCAAATACGCATAATAACCAACACGGCACTCCTGATTTATCTACCCAAGCTCTAATACGTACCAGTCAATACAGCGCAGGTTCAAGCAGATTTGGTGGTGCCAGAACACCTTCAAGCCAGTACGGAGTTCCTTCGACATCCAATCGACTTATTTCCGACCGATCTGGCATTCCAAGTGCTTCAAGGAGCGCTGCTGGTGCTCAATTCGTCGTTTCTGCTGCACCAGGCCGTGTTGGTGGGGTCAGCTCTCTGTCGACCCAGTATGGTGCCCCTGTATCCTTTGTCCGCTCTGGTGGCTCTAGCTCGTTGTCATCAAACAACTTCAATGGTGTCGGCTCTCTGACAAGTCAATATGGCGCACCTGCTGTTTCTAGTCGCTTTGGTGGCGCCAACTCGTTGCCATCCAGTCGCTTTGGTAGCTCGAGGTCTCTACCCAATCAATTCGATGCTTCCAGCCGCTTTGGTAGTGCTAGCTTCTCTTCATCTCAGTTCGGAGGTTCTGGTTCTTCAAGCCGATTTGGAGGTGCTGGCTCCACTTCATCTCAGTTCGGAGGTTCTGGTTCTTCAAGCCGATTTGGAGGTTCTAGCTCCCTGTCCACGCAGTATGGTGCTCCATCAGCCTCTAGCAGACTCAACGCCCCGACCTCACAATACGCTCCTGGAGGTGGATACGCTGCCTCGAGGGGAGGATACAATGCCCAGGAGGATGACATGGCCGTACGTAATTACACACTTTTACGTATTATTTCTCTTTGCTAAAGAACTAAACACCCTTCAAGGCCTTTGTCCACTAAGTCGAATTGTCTGTCTGTGTCCGATAGGAACCGGCCAACTACGAGTTCTCTTACGAAGTCCAGGACGCCGAGTCCGGGAGTGAATTTAGCCAGGAGGAAAATCGCCAGGACGAAAGTGCCCAAGGCTCTTACCGCGTCCTGCTACCAGACGGTCGCCTGCAGATCGTGGAATACGAGGCAGATCAGGAGGGATACAGGCCACATATCCGCTACGAGGAAACTGGAGCTGGATACCCCAGTGGGCCTCAACAGAGGGCGCAAGGACCTAACCATGGACCTTACTAAATCTTTAACTATTAAGTGATACTTTAATGACAATTCAACTTTAAAGCAAATTTTACATATATATGCAATAAATATGTTATTATCATATACACCACAAAGAGAAGAAATTTTGTGTATAATTTGTCGTTTCTCAATAAAGTATATTTATTGAATTCGGATTTATATTTACCTGTGCACCTCTCTGACATGTATTTTGTAAGTAATTTTCTATTTAACCAAACTAATAGCACGAAAACCTTAAAAATACTTTATGAAACGGATTTTCAGCCCTAAATGGAAAGAAAATCTTACCTAAAGGAACTGAGAAGCTACTGTTTGCATGTCTGCTCATATCAGCAATAAGTGATTTCTTTTTGCAGTCAACGCATGTATTATTTAAACATTCAACTGTTTTCACGTTGGCAGAAAGCCCGAAATTTTAAGAGGATTTTCTATTTTTGTGTTTTTCAAAAAATTTCACCTACAATATACAAAAAATCTCTGACCGCGGTAGATAACAAACAACTTGTTACGGCTGCAAAATAGTTTTAATTATTTTTCCGGAATCCAAAGACGTATGTCTCTCTCTAAACAAAAGGAATAAAACGCACTATATGAAGCCTGTTCCAGAAACTCTGAAAAATTTATATTTTAAATTTACTATTCTAAATGTCAAAGCATAACACCGATAGAACTTTTAATTTTTTGTGCACGAGAGTTTGGCTCAGGACAGATTTCAATACCAGCCCTTAGCGAAATCGATAAGGAAACGTTCGATTCCATTAAGCAAGCAGATTTTCTTACATACCTGAGTCCCTGTTTGCACCCCGAGAAGGACTCAGCTCCGTCGAACACGGCTCATTACCCCCCCCCCCCAAAAAAGTGTAAGATACAAAATAAATTGGGAACATTTCTCGATGTGGCAAACGTATTTTCTGATTCTGTATTATAAATTAACTTTTCAATAGATTATACAGGTAACTTCTGAATTTCTTTCGTAGTCTGGTCTGAATGATAGTTTGAGAAGGATAACGTTCCTGAAGACATAGGATTGTAGGAGTAACAGTTTCAGTCTCTCCCAGCTTCTCCAGCCAAATTCTAAATTCAACCATTTTACGACGCAATGACAATTTCAATTTGTGGACAGACTGAGGAGAACCAACTAATATTAGAAAGGGTAATTTTCTGAATACGAACGAAAAATGGTAACTAAAACATTAAAAATGTCACGCGTGCTTGCAATTAGAGAGAATAAATAAATGTGGGATCAAACATAAAGCAGCATTACAATAATCAGCCTCCTCTTTAATAGGATCACACACACTCCTTTACACCACTTACATTAATTTTAGGGTAATCTAGCGTCCGCCTTCATGAAGGGCACAAAACAAAGACATTTTCATTGATTAACTAAAGATGATTGACTAAAAAGCACCGCACTCACTTAGGGTGAGCCCTGAAGGATTTGGGGAGCAACATTGATGGACTTATTCAAGGCCGCATCACGGAACATGGCTGCAGAAACTGAACAAAATCATGGAAATAATAGGACCCGTTAACGCTGTGCTAACCTGCTCGGTTATGTTCTTTTATTATGTTTTGGCGCTACAGATATCGTCATTAAACAGATCATGAATAAATGTTATTGTCTCAATAATATCCTTAAAAACAGATCACATGCCCAATCCCGCATTTTAGTTCTGCATGTACCAACATATAAAGTAGAGTACTAAAAAATTTATAGCTAAATATTTCTAGAGCATTAGTAATTGCAAATTAATATGACCGACAGTTAAATACCTTGACTACAGCGCAGTAGCAAGCAGTCTGTTGGTACTATTAAACCTTATTCACGTCAGACATCTGCTCTGTACCAGAACTAATTACCTCGCCTCATCTGAACATTCTCCTCGTTCAACCTCATTAGTTATGATGTAAAAATGTATTCTGCCGACCGTCGTAACTTAATTAGTATGAATGCAATATCTGTCACTTTGATTATGGAACTTTCAGTCAAATAAAGCTAAGAACTGTCGTCATAATTTCAACGTACAAGGAAATGTCTAGCTTTCGTGAGTTATTAGGGGATTACTTATCGATATTTTCATATTTCATTGTTGGTACACAAACACACATTTGTATAGAACTGTCATAATTTCTCGTGCACAAATCATTTATCACATCTTAGGCCTAATATAGGTTTCGTCACGTAAATATGCAGCAGAAACCTTCCTAATAAGACCTTTTTCACTCCGTAGTTCAAGGACCCGAAAGTTACTTACCGTACTTACGAGCTTGAGTTGACAAGAAAAGGATTCAACTTCGCTGTACGTCTATAAAATATGCTATTCGGTGGACATATAACGGTTATGCATTTCTTAAATTCGAATGTGCATAGGATTTTACATGCAACAGTAAAATCTTTCAGTATCTCTTAACTGAAAGATGCCACATTTTATATTCACATCAGATCGAAATCATATTTACGATGAAATTAAAGACAAACAAAATCATTAAACAATCAATCACATAACTTTTCCTTTACATTACATCTCTCACTCTGATTGAAGAAGGAATAAGAACGGTTGGTTCCCGAGAATAACTCTCTGAACAAACTATGGCCTTAAGAGTGGAAGTAGTATTGAGCGACAACATAACTTTCATTCTTCACTACTGTTAGAATGACTCAAACAAGAATGGTCATATCGGCTATGTATTTAACACACAGTGGGTCGGATGAGAAATTCATAGAAATCTGGTCGCAGAACGTCAAAGGAAGATGTCACCTTAGACATCTACGCGTAAATTTAACGATGACATTAAAATGTATCTGAAACAGAAAGTGACGATGTGGACAAGATTCAATTGGCTCAAAAAAGGTCAAAATATGGGTTTTTTGGTAACAGGGAAATTTTTCATACAAAAATCTACACCAGACAACTAAGAGGAATTTCACAAGAAAATAGCGCATATATTCATTAGATTCGGAGGGAGTCACATTACTCATTGCACGTGCATCAAAAACCAAGCCGATCACGGCATGCACTGTTGTTATCAGTCTACGTCTATCTCCAATTTTTGGGGCAATTTATTACTTAAAAATAATAGCCTGTAGAGTAATAACGTTTCGGACGGACGGAGGGACGAAATTAATGCTTCCAGCTGTGCAGTCCGTATTGGCCAACCAGACTTAATTTGGGTATAAGGTATAAGCTATAAGGTATAGTGAAACGTACGTTCTATGAAAACTAATTACATCAATTAGTTAACAAATCAAACACAGCACACATCATTAAAGTAACTTAGATTTTGAGAAGCTAATAGTCGATCAGTTAGTCAAGGGACATGGGTTCATTATCGTGCTTACAATAGAACGCCAAGGGTGCCTTTCCGGAGCCAAATAAGTACATTAAACACCCTCCCTCTATATTTCCCTAAGGTAGATTATAATAATATCCACCAATCTACGCCAAGGTACTCAGGTTTCCGGCCCTAAATTTCGTAGGCATTCCAATCTATATCTTGTGCTATATAATCTGGCTATTTCACCTCAACCTTTACTAACCTATATTAATTGATCTCAAATACGTAGATGAGCATTTTATGCCTTCTGTACATGCAAGACATGAATATGCACTTTTTACTTTGTTTAGAGAGTTCGCGTAAAACTTGTGTGGAACACCGAAATCCTTTCAACCCTATCAGACGATATAACACAGAGGGCCGCTTAACATTTTTCAGTAATTGAAAAACTCGAGCAATAATGTCCACCATCCTGGAAGTTAATAATCACATTACATATGCTATTTTGAATCAGTAGGTCACTCACTCACCAACTCTATGAAGTAAACAGCCGCTAAGCTAATCAAGAAATTCCCTGCCTCTTATAAAACCAGCATGTTCATAATCGTGTCGTTAAGCCCAAACTAGTTCAATACACATCCTACTTTGCACAATGCTCAGACAGACTTTAAAGTTTCAAGCACAATAGCTTATGTGTACAAATGATAGAGAAGTTACCTGAGACAGATGCATATAAAACTCAATAACACATGTAACAACTTAACAGGAGACTGGAAAAACGCATAATGAGCAGTTTCATACCTTGTACACCAAGTAGATTCATTATTATGGCGATAGATGTTTACAGAATTTATAACTTGTGCTGGGCAAGGCCGTGGTCTAGGCAACACGGAGTTTTCCTCCGGGGGCTTCCCCGGTTTCTCCGTGGCATCCCAACAATTACTCCATTCACACACAGAAGAAGGCAATGGCAAACCACTTCTGAATCATCTG